ATCAGCGGGAAATCGTGCAAAAAAAAAAAAAAAAAAAAAAAAAAAAAAGCGAGGAGTGGTCTCCCTGTCTGAGCAGGCCCAAGCATGCAACCCATGGCTGACCTCGCAGAAATTAATCTGCCACTTGAGGGTTGCAGTTCCCTCAGGTTGCCAGCCGTCCACTTAGGGCCTCGCCACACAGCCTGAGGAAACGCCAAAACGACAAAAATGTGGCAGCTGCATCTGGCCATGTTCTAGCGTGAAGTTCATTCTCGTTTTGCACATTTCGACAGCCTGTGTGGCGAGGCCCTTAGATTGACGCAGGGATCTTCAATTGCAGAGGAGAAGCTTAGGCGAAGGTTCATCTGTGGTTCTTGATTGGAAGCGTCAGGTGTTGCGTCAGCCAGACCTTTTGCAGATCCGGTCAGAGTTGACAGGCTGGGACTTTGCCAACCAAGACAAAGCCGAGTGCGTTCGTTCCGGTACCTGTCCTCTTGACGTCAGTTTGTCAGTGAGTCAGAGTCTGTCTGTCCAGTCTGTCAGTCTGTACTCCGTCAAAAGGGTACCGAAGATAGCACTTTCCAGAATGTATGTGGCTGCACTTTGGTGCAGCAGAGGATGTATCTGAGGACAATCACGTTCAGAGCTTGGTACCTCTCTTCCCTTTGTTTTTGTTTTTTTTGTTTTTTTTCCTTCTTGTTTTTTCTTTCCTTTTTGACTTTCCAGAATGTATCTGGCTGCACTTCACTGCAGCAGTGGATGTATCTGAGGGTAATCACGTTCAGAGCTTGGTACCAATTCAATTACCTGTCAAATCTGGACAGGACGGCCTTTCAGGCCTTTTTTATTGTCATTATAGTATTACGGGGAACCCCGTAGCAGCCACATCCGTGCTCAAGCCTCTAACGATGGAACATGCGGGAGCTGCACCCACCAGCAGGTGCGATACCTGCTACAGCAGGTGGGCGATACCGGCCAGGGGTCAGCCGGTAGCATCAGGACCAAGCTTCTTCGATGGGCCAGTCACTGTGCCTCCCCTCCAGTCACCTCGCCCTATAAACATCAGCAGTCTCTGCTCAATGCCACTCGGGGGGACCAACGGCATATCTCTAGGTGGCGGGCACCAAGCTTGCCCAGGAAGGTACATGAGGCCAATGGGGATTGAACCCAAGACCTCCTCAATGATATTCAGGGGCCTGCCTTCACTTAGGGCGGGCATGCGTCTGCTGCAGGAGCCTTATGCGGGTATGCTGAGCGGTAAAATCCTCACACTCCCTCCTCCTTTACTTGGATAGTCCACTGAGAAGTCCTTATACAGCGGGGTGCTTCCCTTTTAAACCACCAGTACTTGGCCCAGCTATTGAAGCCGAGCCTGAATATGCCCTGTGTGCCGATTTTTGCTGAGCCTGCAGGGGGCGGGAACCAACATGGGACATTTGATGCTTGGCACAGGTACCGCCCATATTCTGGACCTGCTGCCAGCAGCTGGAATGTAAAGAGGCGATAGTTTTCTCGTTTCCACTCGTGTACATGAAAATGGCCTGGGCAGAAGTGCAGCCGGATCCGTCTTGAAAGATCTCGTTGAATGCTCCCCGCCTCTCGGAGGAAGCACAAACACTTTTGAAGACTCGTTGAATGCTCCCCCCGTTGCAGAGGCACAGGTTTTCAAAAATTTTGCATAGCC